TTTGTGCCCTTTTTACCAGTGCGGTGGTGTTTCCAGTCCACGTGAGGGTGTCTGTGATGTGCACCCCCAGGAATTTGGTGCTGCTGGCCACCTCTACAGCTGAGCGATTGATGAGCAGTGGAGTGTGGTTAGGCCGGTTTTTCCTGAAGTCCAAGATGATCTTCATCTTTTCTACATTCAGGATCAAGGATTTTAATAATCCTGTCAGATATTCTGACCATGAAAGTGAAGAGATGCCTTATGGAATGGATTAAGGAAAGAAGAACCATTTGTGGTAGTTGTCTCTTTGTTTTGTTTTTATTTTTGTTGGCTTTATGGTTGTTGCTGATGACCTGTTGACTGGACAGACCATCCTATTCACAACATCTAGTTTCAGAGAGCTTGTAAGGTCTAACCCACAGATTCCACACCCTCCATCTCCCTCTATCCGCTCCGTTCCAGACCGCCTGCATAAAGCAAAGCCTACAGCCTGCCTGTTCCTCCCGTCTTGCTCCGCTCTGACTTCCTTAAAGCCCAAGGACGGCATGCACAATATTATTGTTAAATTCATAGCAACAAAACATTCAGAAATGAACGTTCAATTTAATGACATGTTTAAAAAATCCCCATCAGCATCCAGCATATGTGCAGTTTCTGCCCAAATATTTTCTTTTTGTTGTGGATTTTTATAACCGGGATAATGAGAATCATATAAAATTGGTTTGTATGAACTGTGTTTGTTCTCTACTTCCAAATTCAGCATCTCTTCAGCCATGCCTGCGATAAGAAGTTGTGACCGGATTTGATTAAACTTTTAAGCCTCTTAGGATAAAATAAATATTTTGATTGAGATGAGAAATCTGCTTTCCTGGTATGTTGAAGTACCAATAGTTTGCATCCAATCATTGAAGTAAACGCTTTTAGTTTTTGGGAATATATAAGAGTTGTGCTCTAATTTGTAGTTATTACCGAGCTGTTGTTACAATATTTTAATTTGATAAACCTTCTCGCCTTTCTTCTTCCTGTTTGGTGCGATTGCTATTGCAGATCTTTACCTGGCTGGACCGGAGTGGAGCAAGAAATAGCTCGGCTCCGTGTTTTGATGGTGAAGGACAGAAAAGGAGCACGTAGAAGGAGACATGCGGTGGAGTAGCAGCGGATGTGGAACAGTTCTCATTGATTAACATGACTTTACAAGTACTCCGCACGACGTACGTGAGCGGGGCGGAACGCTGGTGGAGGATGTGAAATCTGGGGGTGACATAGCTTCTTGGACTAAACTTTGTTAGGAGCTTGAAGCCCTTACTGGCAAGTTTCCACAGTCTATGTAAGAATGCTGACAGTCCAAAGGTTTTTTTTTTTTTTAACAAAAATTGTTGTAATGTCATTTGAAATGTTTCTTTACATAAACCACACCCCTGTAGCTGTGTCTCTCACCTTGGTTTCGTTGTTGTAATCACCTTGAGAGCTTGACTGTCGAGGGTCCTGAAATTCACCGCGAGAATAACGCATTATCTGATCCATTCCATAAAAGTTTTAAAAAAACAATCCAATGGACTTTGTTTCCAAGGTTTGAAGACATTTCACTTCCCCACCAGGAAGCTTTTAAAAAATCATAGACATCATAGATAGGTTTCAGGTATTACAGGTGACAATCCCCCCTTTAACGACCGACCTTTCAAAATCATAGAAAGGTTTCAGATATCACAGGCTAACAATGGAACCAAACAACCCACTGGTCAGTTTCAATATGCATGTTTGCAAGCAATACAAGGCCTTATCTATATAAAGCCTCAAACTCAATGCGAATACAGACATTTTGAATTGACATAGCTTCCTGGAGGGGAAGCGAAACGTCTTAAGACCTTGGAAACCAAGTCCAGTGGATTGTTTTTTTAAACTTTTACGGAATGACTATGACCTAAGTGACTGAGAATCTTCACCAGCATCTGATCCATCACCGCAAATTCGTTTTTGTAATGCGGGAAATTCCCTTTTTAAAACAATCATGGCGATGCAGGGCTCGATGTTAACCATTGCCCAATCTTCCGGGGCAAGTAGTTTTTATTGTCGGGAGAGAACAATTTTTTTGCGATTATTGCATTTGCCCGCCAGGCAAATGCAATGATTTAAAAAAAAAAATTATTTATCACTCAAAATTTCTTTAAAATCACCAACATTAATTGAAAGCGACCCACAAGCGTTGCCGGTGCCATTTTTGTTGTTTTGTACACATTCTCGCGTTATTTGAAAAAGCCGTGTGATTTTCCGCTAGACGGCGTGATTTTTCCTCTCCTTGGGGAGAGAATTCTGCAG